CCCCCAAAACCCCAAAACCCCATTAAAAAAAGATAATGACTGGAAAGGAATTAAAATTTTACAAATTCTAAACAATTAATTGCAAAATTATTGAAATGGCTTAATTATTTTAATCAAGCATGCAGCCGATTCCTCCTCCTTAAAATACATCCCTCATTTATACCTATAATAGGGGAGGCGGTTTCATCGACCCTAAAATTGAATACTCTCACCAAAAAATGCCATTGAATTAAAATGGATCTCCTAAGAATGGGTAAAGTATTAGAATGGCAGGCGAAAGTATCATGAAAAATACATAATCGCAGCCTGAATTAAGAAACTAAATGTTACCAAATACTTAAACGCAATATAGTAAAACTCTAAATCCATAAAATTCCTTTCCTTTTTTCGTACCCCCAGAGGAAAAACCATATGCATTCGAGAGATATGGCTATCGAGTTTAAGATAATGCAGCATTTTATTCACCTAAACGCTGTAAGTAAGATTCTTCCCTAAACTTAATTTTTAGTTATGCCCACTCATGTTGAGTAATCTTTGAATCAAGAAATAGATGAATTAAGTGGCCAACTTAGAGATATCAAGCCATTTGTGTAATATATTTAAGTGAACTTTAAATTAGACTTAAAGCACCTCCATCATACTTATTGAATGAAACTTTGACAGGATTCAGAGACATAAGACTTGAGAATATGATAGACTTAAAGACAAAACATTAATTATTGAACTTAGCTTTACAAGAGTATGAATTAATGGGATTTCTAGCAAAACAAAAAGATCATTCTACTACTGGTAAGATTATGATGATAATTAATCTACTAGATAATAAGATGAAGCTAATGCGGTTATAAGAAATGGCTAGACAGAGGCTGGAGATTGAAAGAATTTTGATAAGAGAAGATCCTAAGGTATTCTTGAGGAATTTAGAAATCTAAAAGGAAAAAGATGAATTAGCTAAATATGGGAAATTTCCCTAAGATGAGCAAAAGGTATAACTCACTTCAATAAATTCACTTTAATTTAGAGTCTTATTGAAATGAATCACCCTAATACTTATATTGAGCCAAAACCTTACTCACTATTCGATGAAAAAGAGAAAAATAAGTAGAAAAATTATGAGCAGTAGTAGTTTAAGAATAGAATTAGACAAAAGATAAATTATCCTCTTAATCAAAAGGGAATTAAATGTAAAACTTATATAGCTGATAACTATCTTAATTATAGAAGATGCAGACTAGAAAGACTATAATATGAATTAAGGATTTATAGTATACTTTGATTATGTTTTATGCGACAGAGCTGAAATAGTTAATAACTCTCATATTATTTACGGAGTTTACAACCAGTAAAGATCAATTGTAAAACCTAAATTAGTATCTGTATCTAGCAGGAATCTATATTAAATTGGAGATCAAGTCTGTGCAATGATTGAAGAATCTCATGCTCACACTAAAATTGAAGGAAATAATGATATCAACTTGGTCTTTGAATTCTAGATTAAAGATGATGCAAATGAAATTAAAAATCTCAATAATACGAGAGATACTTTTAAGTCTGATTTGTCAAAGCTTAATAGTGTTGTTTACGGATGGTCTTGTCTTGATTTATTTGAGGTTTTCTCATTCTAACTAAAGTATGACTAAATTACATTGTAAATATATTTATAGAAGAGGGATGTGGAAAATACCAATTTATTAGCCTCCAACTGATTTGAAAATTGCAAATATAGGTAATTATGAAAGGATTAAAGATTTTTATCTTTGTCTAAGAATAGTTCATGCTAAAGACGATAAACTTTCAACTCATAAATGTAACCCATCAAATAAGCATCTTTATCTCATTCCCGAGGTACATTCGAATGCACCTGTAAAAATTAATGTTGAGCAAACAGATGATTTTTCTAATTCTAAAATAGTCAATCATAAATCAACTGATAAACCTGAGTAACCTAGAAAAAAAGTAACTGATGGATTAAAAGTTTTTATTAATCATGTTCTTGGAAATGCCCAGATGAATGGTAAGAGATATAGAGTTACCTGTCTACTGTAATCTAATAAAGATATTTAGCGGTAAAATGAGTCAGGGAAACTATGCTTTATGACTTCAAATGAAAAGAAATTTGTTGATTAGAGATCTTAAGCTGATCCATTAGTTATTTTCAATGAAGAAAAGGTTTGGTCAATGATTATTGCCACAATCAGATAACCTTTATTCTTAGTTGTTTAGCTTTTGGAAAGGAGAGAACAATATGTCGATCTAGAGACTAACCCTCAAACAAAAATAAACAGAGAGTATTTGGATAAAGTTTATAGACTTGTTGGGTATGCTGTGATTAAATTGAATGATGAAGGTAATAGAGCAGCAATCAAGTTTGGAGAATATGTTTTAGACCTAGCAAAGCCTCCAGTATACGTTGAAGATTATGATAGTGAGGATTAGTCTGATAAGATTCCTGTATAGATAAAAATAACTGTTGTTAGAGCTACTACTGGAGTGTATTAGACTAAGGAAGTTAAAAAATAAGAGAAAAGTAAACATCTCGAAGATAATTATTAATAAGATTATATTAAGGTCCCTTCCCTTAAGAATGCTTAGCCAAATGTTTACGACGAGAAGAAGGATTATAAACCTAATATCTACACAGAAATGTTTATGAAACATTTCATGAAGAGTTTTCATCATAAAAATGAAGAAAACACCAAGATCTTCAAATAACAGCAAGATTAATAGGATTACTTATGAAATTTTTGAATTCATAGTAAAATATAAGATTTATGACTAAATCCTGGAGAGTATAATTGATTATAAACTTCTAACATAATCTTAATTTCATAATTTACAAAACATATCCACTAATTAAATGTCTTAACTTTGTTTATTTCAGAGAATCTACCCAATTGCTCAATAGTAATCCTTGGAACTCTCTATATAAAACCCTTTCTTATCAGAGAAATAATTCGAAGTACGTTTGAAAGTAAAATAAAAATGCTATCTGCACTAAGTGAGACACATATTGGTGCTCATAGCATTAAAGAACTCACTTTTCTTTCCCTGCTACTCTTATCTAATCTCATACTCTCTCTTTAATTAGGGATCCTTATCAAAACACTCCTGCTTGCAAACAGCATATCTAGATCCTAGAGCATTCATTGAATCTAGATATTTATTCAACTATTATACATAACACTCCTCTGCTTCATTTTGCTGATTAGCATATGCTTAGATATCTATCTGGCTTTTATTCTAGTTTGAAAATTCCATGAGTTTTAAAGTTGATATTTAAGTGCAGAAATCTTTGGCTTATCCCATAGCTTTATCAAATGAAACTGCGAACAAATTTCTAGTTTAAGCTGCTTTGAATAGTTCTGAATTTGGAGAAATCGACTCTAGTGAGGTAATATATTTGTAGGATTCATTTTTCCCAGATAATCTGGTAATTAGTCTTTGAGACATTGACTATTTCTCAGACTCCATTATTTATTAAATTTATTAATTAAAAAATTTTCATCTTAGTTAGTAATATCTTTGCAGTTTGGGGTTTTGGGGTTTTGGGGTTTTGGGG